GGTCACGTAGACGGCAGTCTGGTGGGTGGTGTTTGGAGAAGAGTGTGGACAGTGAGATCTGGGAAGGGGAGCCTCACCTCTGGGGGGTAGGGAGACCAAGGACAGACTTACACTCTAGACCCTGTCCGGACTTCATCCAGATTATCTGTAGAACCACACAGGTACTCAGTGGCTCCCCAACCAATTGGCCAGGGGCTCTGAGAGGGGGCCCAAGGCATCAGGACAGTGGCAAGCTTCCCAGGAAATGCTGGAAGGTGAGCACCCCTGGGCCAAAGTCAGTGAAAAAGCGTTCCCACAGCGACCCTCCACTGCAGAACTGACCTGGGGCAGTTGTCCAGAGACAGAAAAAGAGACTGATGCAGGCAAAGCACCTGTCTGGCTTTGTAATTATCCTTCTTCTTCCTATTTTGCACACCAGGAAGATGTGGCTGGATGGTGGCAAAGCCAAGTCCAGAGAAAAGTTACGTGGGACAGCTGCCTACTGTCCACTCATCATCTACCTACCAGTGGTGGGTGTTTACCTTGAACCCGGTCTTGTCCGTAGCCGTGGTCCCCATAGGTTAGAAGAAGCTGGGCAGGAAGCTGATCTCACGGCAGAGGGCTGAGAGAGGAAAGGGAGTCCCAGCCAGCCAGGAGCTGTCCACCCATGTCAGACAATGCCACTCTGTGACCCTGGTATAGTGAGACAGAGACCAAAACCAGCTCAAAAACTTGTCTAGCCACAGAAATTAAGGTCCCCACGCAAAGCACAAAAATACCAAAAAGCCCTACTCTCCTGGCTAATATAAATGACAGTCACGGATTTGGCAATCACAGCCCCACCCTCCCCCTGCTCTGTTCCCCTTTTAGAGAAGAAGATATGCCACCAAAAATCGGTCCTGCTTCCTAATAGTATCCAGTAAAAAGTACAACCCCACTTCCTTGAACTTCCCCAAGCACCTAAGGCAAGTACAAATTCTGCCCTGAGTCTTTCCTGACCCTTCCTGGAGGAGAGTCCTACAGTTCCCCATGGCCCTCTGAATTCTTGTAACCAGTCAGTAAACCTCCCTGAAGTCTTTCGCTGGTGGGCTTTGACAGGATAATACCGTGGGGCCCTGGGGCTGGTTCGAAGGTGGCACAAAGAGAAGGAAAGCCCGTTTCCTTAAAACCTCTGGCAAAAGTGACCTTTGAACTGGGTCTGGAAGAATAACTAGAGACCTGCTAGCCAAACTGAGAGGGAAAGGCCTTCCAGGTGGAACAGCATGTAGTCACAGAGCATGAGAAAGCTGTACCCATTCTGGGAGTCTGTTTGGATTCATTTGCTGGGTATGGGGGCTGGGCAAGGCTGTTTTATCCTAACTCCATCCTGAAGGGAAGGGGACCACTGAAGGATTTTAGGGAGAGGGACTTCATCAGACTTGTGTTTCAGAAAGTTGCTCTGGTAGGGAGGGTTTATGGGCTGGAGAGGCCGAGACAATGGGGACAATGGGGACTTTGTTGCTAAGCATATAGTAGATGCTCATGTGGGATCTGCTGATTGAGGATGGAAGTCACCAGGAGGGAGGAGGAGAATCAGGTCAGGTCAGAAGGGGACATTGGGTCCTGGGGAAAGATGGCAGAGGGTGGCCTCATGGGAGGAGACTGGTGATGTGGTCAGGGCTCCATCCAAGGAAGGGGTGAAAAGCATGGGTGGTTGCTGGGGGGTGGGGGGGGCTTTCTCTTCCACCCCACTTGCCATTCTGCCCCTCCAAAGAGCCAGGAAGACAGTAGGTGCTTAATCAGTGTGCATTCAACAGTGCAGGGCATTTCAGGGACAGACAGATGTAGGTCTGTGTGTGCTTGAGCACAGCCCCTCACCTGCAAACTAGGAAGGGCTCTCCTACCTTGTAGAGTTACAGAGGGGACTAGAGGGGTAATAACAGTGATGACTCTGGGCCCGGGCTGCCTTTGTTCCTTCAGTAATCCTGCAAGGAAGGTGCTGTTATTTCCACTTTACAAGTGGGGAAACTGAGCCTTGAGTGGGAAGCACCTGGGTTCAGGGCACACAGCTAGCTGGTGGCAGAAGCAGGTGATGGATCCTGGGAAGGCCACCTTCAGAGTTCCCAGCCGCGGCTGGCCTGGCCAAGAGGGTGGCGTGGGGTGGCCTTCTGGGTCGGGGGTCAGAGAAGGAGCCCCAGAGTCCCAGGAAAATGGGGTGGGTTTTGGCCACCTGGTTGTGGGGCCGATCTCTTAGGTGACTGTGAGCTGTCACTGTGGGAGGGGCTGCAGTTTGCATCTGGAGACAAGGGGAGAGGCACCCCCTCCCAGGAGTGGTGATAGACAGGCCCGGTGACAAGGCTGGGGGAGCCCGAACCCACACAGTGAGCAGTAGGTGGGCTTGCACCAAAGAGACGGCTGGCCATAGTGAAGTAGGCACAGGTGAACTTCTGCCATGGGGGGAAAAGACAGAGCCAGGGGGGTGGGGCAGCGGGGATCCCAGAGGGCTCCAGGGTCAGGAGCCAAGGCCTGTCCGGTGGCTGCTGCCACCCCTGGCACCCACCCCGTCTCCTTCATGCACAGTCTAACCCTGACTCCCCCGTGGGTGTCAGGCCCTCAGTTGCCATAACAACTGGATCCCAGCAGTAAAAATAGTAACATTTCTTATTCAACTTTTTTTTTGCTCTTTGAGAAAAAGAAAATCCAGTTCGAGGTTTGTGTTTCCCTTCAGGGGTCTCCTCTGGGGCCCCGCTGAGCCCACTGCCAAGACCTGGGGAAGGTCGACCACAGGCTGGGGCCAGGAGGAGGCCAGCGGGCCGGCAGCCTGAGGAGCTCTGGTCCCACACCTGTGGCTTCCCTCAGCCTCCGGATGGCTGCGCTCAATGACAATCGATGCCCCGGGCCTGCCCTGGATTCCCTGGGGAAGAGGGGCCCACAGGGAGGTCAGACCCCTGGGGGCTTTCACTTCTATAAAGTCAGCAGGGACCTTTATGGAATTGAAGTTGAGGGCAGAAGAGGAGGTATGCGTGGCACCTGGGGACAGGTGTGTCCCAGTGGGGCTGACAATAAGGCCTGGGTGGGGGGTCACAACAATGGTGAGGGAGGTTAAGGTCAGGGAAGAAGCCATGAAATGCAGGTTCAGAGCTCAGATCCTGGGCAGGTCCTCTGGCTGTGTGACCTTGGGAGAGTCCCCTGGTCCCTCTTAGCCTCTTTCCCTCCTCCATTGAGAGGACAGGAGGTGTTGGTCACTGTACCCATGAGCCTCTCCCAAAATGTAAAGAGACAACTGAAACAAGTTTCCTGAATGTGACTTATTCTCTCCTGGCACCGTGTACTCTGGACAGAATGTCTTTTCTGTTTCATTTCCAACAGCTGCTTGTCGCCGGCCGGCTGACTCCCTGATCTTCTAGAACCACGCTGCCCCCTAGGACTTTCTGTGGCGTTGGGAATGGTCCGACACGCCAGCCACTGATCACATGTAGCTGCTGAGTGAGTACTTGAAATGTGGCTTGTGTGACCCAAGAGCTGCATTTCAAATTGCATTTCATTTTATTTAACGTAGAAATAACCAGACACAGGAGGCTGGTGGCTTTCATGTTGGAGGTCGCCGCTCTGGGAGGTCCAGATGAAAGTTCAAAACTTGCAGCTCACTCTGAGGAACCTTCCAGCTCACCTGGAACCTTGACCTCAAGTCCACCTGGACAAAACCCAAATCACATCTTCCCTCTACTCCCTGCTGCTCCTCCCTTGGTCTCCTCCCCCTCTCTCCACACCCCCAAATGTCATCAGTACTTACCCAGCAGGGCCAGCCAGAAGCCCAGGGGTCACCCTTCACTTCTAATCCATTTGACCTCCTAAACATCCCCAGACTCCTTTTCTGGTCCCTATCTCCAGCCTTCCCTCTCCCCGCAGCCTGTGAATGCCTGTACCTGCAATTTTTCTTGTCCACACTAATCCTGGGTGTCTCTGTGCCCAGCATTTGGGAGTGCAGAAATGAATTCCATAGGGTCGCTTTGCCCTGCGTGGGATTATTTCCTGAATGTGTACTAGGATCTCAAAGAAAGCCTTGTTATTTAAAATCGCAGGGAGCTGGGGTTTGGGAAGCGAAGGGAAGAGAGAGGAGTGGGGAAGGAGGTGCCTGCCTTTCAGTTTAGACACCTGTCCTTCCATGGTGAAGGCTCTTCTGCTTCCCTCAGTCCCCAAAAGTGTCATCCGCTCCTGTTGGTGGTTTCCCACAGCCTATAATCCGAACCAAGGTCTCCTAAAGGAGAGAGCTGGATTTCGTAGAAGATGGGGGGTGGGTGAGTGGGCAGATCGTGGGTACGCTGCGATCCGACATTAAAATGCGCGTGCCCCTGTCTGGGGGTCGTGAGGGTCCCTAGAGTCACAGTCTCTGGGAGTTGAGAGGTTCCGCCAGAGACTGCGGCCATTCCCGGGCGGATCCCCTGGGCCGTCGAGCCTCGCAGGCGCTCGGAAGCAGCAGGCGCTGGCCTTGGGGGAAGCGCGAGCTACAAGTCCACTCCCCCGGCCGGCCACGCCGGGGGCCTGAACGCCTGGCGCGCCAGCGGTGTCCGCTCCCTTTCCAGCCCAGTCCCGACCGAGGACAGCGGGGCTCCGTCTAGCAGGCCGTGACCTCGCTCTGGAAACTACCGGGGGAGGGCACACCGGGAGAGGGAGGGATAGGGGCTCCAAGGGGAAGCCCCCATCCCTCCCTATCGCCCCTCCTCCTCCCCCAGCCAGCCAGGGCAGGAGGGGTCTGCGGGGCACCGGGAGGGGGCCGCGGCCGAGGGGACTAAGGCGATTGGCCCGGAGCCCCCCCCCACGCCGGCTCCGCCCCCGCCCCATCTGCTAGGGATTTGGCGTCGGCGTCTCGGGCTCCGGCTCGGCTCGGCTCCAGCTCGGGCTCCGCGCGCCCCCCGGCCGGCCCCCGCCCCGCGCCCGCCTACCTGCTGCTCCCGCGCCCCGCGCCTCCCTCCCTGCCTCCCGCGCTCCCTCCTCGCGCGGGTTGTCGGAGCCTTGGGCTGGGTGCTGATGGAACCGCCGCGATGTTCGCTCCGCGGCTCCTGGATTTCCAGAAGACGAAGTACGCGAGGTGAGGTTGGGGGCGCGCGGGGAGAAGGGGAGGAGAGGGGGCGTGCGGGGAGGGGCGCGCGGGGAAGGGAACGCGCGCGGGAAAGGGAACGCGCGCGGGGACGGGCGCGTGGGGAGAAGGGGAGGGGAGGGGGCGAGCCGGGAAGGGGACGCGCGCGGGAGGGGGACGCGCGGGGAGGGGGCGCGCGGGGAGCGGACCGCACCGGGAGGGGCGCGCGGGGAAGGGGACGCGCGCGCGGGGTGGGGGCGCCGGAAGGGGATGCGCGGGGAGGGGCGGCCGAGGCTCTCTCCCGGCCCCGCGCCGCCGGCTTCACTCCCCCCGCCGCGCGGAGAATTCGAGTTGACAAATGGACCCTAGCCCCGGCCGGAAGAAACCAGAAAGGAGACTTGGCGGTCTTTGTGAGAGTCTCGGCGCCCAGCTTTGCGCCCCGGAGCGGGAGGAGCGCGGGTTCCCAGCGCCTGCTCTCCTAGCGGCGAGCCCTGAGGCGAGTCGCTTCACCTCCCGGAACCTCAATTTCCAGGTCTGCAAAACGGGGATAATGTACGTCCCCGTCCCTGGGGACCCCGTGAGGCACTTTGCGTGGCTCCCGGAGCAGAGTAATCGCTCAGTTTTTATCCGGCGTTTTTGTTAATGAGAAAAGGTGTTAGCACGCCCCAGCGGTGTTCCCCCAGTACCCCCTACACTGCCCTTGCCTTCCCCTCACTGTTCCTCTCACCGCGCCCCCACTCCTTTCCCCCCCCAGCCTTCACCGCCCCCATGGCAACTGGAGGAATGAGTTTAAAGCTCTTTTTAGGTGGGGAAACTGAGGCTTAGAACCCAGGGAGAGCTGCTTGTCCATCTCGGCTTTTTCACAGTCCTGAGGCTCAGTTTCTCCTAAAATGGTGATGGCAGATACTACCCCCCCACTCCCCGCTCCGCCGGACTGCGGAGTGGAAGCCAAGCTCCCCTTTGCACTGATTACAAGTTAAATGGGGGAGGTTCATAACCATTAAGTTTCTCTGAGATTTTTTGGGGTCTGCTTGCCTGAAAGCTGGCAGGAAAACCCTTCCTGGAAGTAGCCCTCAGCCCCTAGAGGTCTGGAGGGAGGACAAGCTGTTCCAGGAGTGTGGGCGTTTGCCTGTGCTTGGGCACCCAGGGGGGCACCCAGCCTGCTTTGCTGACTTTTTGCCCTCCCCCTTGGGTCTGCTGCTTCTGGGTGGGATGGGCAGGGGGTGAATTTGAGACAGAGTGGCATCATTTTTTTTTTTTTTTAAAGATCCCATTTATTTATTTGACAGAGAAAGACCACAAGTAGGCAGAGAGGCAGCCAGAGAGAGAGAGAGAGAGAGAGAGAAACAGGCTCCCTGCTGGGCAAAGAGCCTGATACCGGGCTCGATCCCAGGACCCTGAGATCATGACCTGAGCTGAAGGCAGAGGCTTTAACCCACTGAGCCACCCAGGCACCCCCAGAGTGGCATCATTTTTGATAGCTACGTCTATATGGCTCATTGTCTCCTGACAATTGCTGAGGGTCCCTGTCCCCAGGAGGTCTCCACAAGTTCTGGTCAGATGGCAGAGCTTGATCAGAGATGTCCAGGCTGAGCATGGCATGGGTAGGGGGGAGGCTGTGCATGTCTTCTTCGTAAGGTTGGGGAGTCCCACTGGAAGGGGGCACATGGGGAAGTTCTTGTGGTTTTTCATTTGGCTGGAAGGTGGGAGGGACTGGCTGCCCAAATCCATGGAATCCTCTCTGATATGGGCACTTGGATTTTTCAAAGGCGTGTTCTCAACGGTCCTGTATGCTATTATGAGGTATAAGTTGGTAGAGGGTTTGCTGGAAGGAAAGGGAAGATTCCGGGACTTGAGGCCTCAGGTGCAGACAGGCACAGAATGAGCTCTGAAGCCTGTACCATGGGCCTTCGCCTGTCCTGCATCTGCTGTGTGGTCTCAGGTCAGTGTCTCAACTTCTCTGGATCTCCGCTGGTTGATTTGTAAGGACAGGAGGGTTGTTCTGAATGAGCTGTAGATTTGGACTCTGGTGCTGCCCTCCCTGGCTGGGTTAGAGCTCTCCAGCTGGTCCAGGGGCTGGACCAGGAGCTTTTTCCGTTCTATGGGTGACAAGTCCAGGGAGGAAGTAGAGGACATTGATTAGAACTATTTCTGTTCCCTTCCTCATGGCATGGCCCTTACCCTGGTGCAGCCCACAAGTTAGGTCCTTAATAAAGGCTTCCTGATTGAGTGACTTTAATAGTGTGAGCTAGCGTCATCCAGTAGAAACGTCACACCAGCCACATGCGTAATTGTACGTTTTTTAGTAGCTATTCAATTTAATGTGTGACTGATTTTCTATCTCATTGTCATAAAAAGGCAAAACACAGTGAAATTAATTTAAAGAATGTATTATAGTTGATCCTTAATATGCAAAATGTTGCATTTCAACATGTAATCTATATGAATGGATCATTCATGAGGTACTTAACATTCTCTTTTCATTACATTCTCTCAGCAAGTCTTTGAGATCTATTTGTGTATTTTATACTTATGGCCCGTCTCGGTTTGGACTAGCTATTTTTCAAGTGCTCAAGAGCCCGACGTGCCCAGCAGCTGCCGTATTCAATAGCACAGGAATATCTTCCAGGATGAGACATGTGCGTTTGTCTCATTCAGTTCGGGCTGCTGTAAGGAAGCACCGTAGACTGATGGCTTATAAACAATAGAAAATGATTTCTCGTAGTTCTGGAGGCTGGAGGTCTGAGATCAGGGTGCCAGCATGATTGGGTCCCGGTGAGGGCCATCTTTTGGGTTGCAGACTACAGACTTCTCATTGTATCTTCATGTGGCAGAAAGAGAAGGAGCCCGCTCTCTGGCCTCTTAGAAGGGCACCAATCTCATTCATGAGGGCCCCACCCCCTTGAATTAATTATGCCCTACACGTCCCACCTCCAGATGCCATCACACTGGAAATTAGATTTCAGCATAAGAATTTTTTTTGTGTGGGGGGGCGCCTGGGTGTCTCAGTGGGTTAAGCCTCTGCCTTCGGCTCAGGTCGTGATCTCAGGGTCCTGGGATCGAGTCCCACATCGGGCTCTCTGCTCTGCAGGCAGCCTGCTTCCTCCTCTCTCTCTCTCTCTGCTTGCCTCTCTGCCCACTTGTGATCTCTCTCTGTCAAATAAATAAAATCTTAAAAAAAAAAAAACTTAAAAAAAAAAGAATTTTTTGTGTGTTGGGGGGCACCTGGGTGGCTCAGTGGGTTAAGCCTCTGCCTTTGGCTCAGGTCATGATCTCAGGGTCCTGGGATTGAGTCCCACATCAGGCTCTCTGCTCTGCTCTCTACCTCTCTGCTACTTGTGATCTCACTCTCTCTGTCAAATAAATAAATAAATAAAATCTCTAAAAAAAAAGAAAAGAATTTTTTGTGGGGAGGAGGGAGAACACAACCATTCAGCCTTAACCTTGTTCCTAGTTAAATGCTGTGTGATACCGTAGAAGATGTTTTTCCTTGTTGAGCCTCTGTTTTGCATTGGGTGGTTGGACCGGCTCATCTTTCAGGTTCTAACCGGAACCCTTGAATGGTCTGCCTAGATCAAGAAATACATTTATCATGAAGCTATAGGAATTAAAACTGTAGTGTTGGTGCAGATTGGCCAGTGGAACAGAATAAAGAGGCCAGAAACAGATTCATGCCGATAAAGACATTGATTTTTTGAGAAAGGTAGTATTGCTGATCAGACAAGGCAAGGCTCGTCCATTGAATAAACGGTACTGAGACAATTCGTTATCCAGACAGAAACAGTGAAACTGGAGCCCTACTGCATTTCTGGATGGATTAAAAATCTTAGAAGTGAAATTTTTTTAAAAATGAAAACTTTTAGATAATAGGAAAGACCATCTTTTGGATTTCATGTTAGGTAAAGATTTCTGAAGGCACAAAAAGTTAAGACCATTACAGGGTAGATGGGTAAACCAGACTGCATTAACAATTACGGATTTCTATTCACTGAAAAATGCCATGAAGAAAGTAGAAGACAGGAGTGCCTGGGTGGCTCAGTGGGTTAAAGCCTCTGCCTTCGGCTCAGGTCATGATCTCAGGGTCCTGGGATTGAGCCTGTTTCCCCCTCTTCCTCTGCCTGCCTCTCTGCCTACTTGTGACCTCTCTCTCTCTCTCTCTCTCTGTTAAAATAAATAAATAAAGTCTTAAAAAAAAAAAAAGGAAAGTAGAAGACGAGCTGCAAATTTGAAGGATATATTTGCAGCACATTTACCCACCAAGATAATTAACATCCAGAACATGTAAACAACTACAATGAAAAAAAAAAACAAACAAACAAGAGGACAGAAAGTGTAAAAAGACCAATCGTTTTGCAAACGAACACAAAGAGAGAGAAGAGAGCACGAATGAGCCGTGAGGATATGAAAAACTGCTCGTTTTCATTGGGGGTCTTCCCTGGAGAAACCTGTGCACACGTGCGTCACTGGAAACAGATAAGAATTTTCTCAGCAGCGTCGTTCGTGATAAGCAAGACCTGGAGACATCCCAAACGTCATTGGTAGCATGGTGGATATCCATAAAGACCCTGCAAGGAGAGTGACTTTCCCATTCAGGCAGCCGTGTAGATAGATCTCGTAGACGTGTTGAGTGATAGCAAAACACGAAGGTATGAATCCCATCATTCAACGCTTAAAAGCATGCAAACCAACTGTCGTTTAGGAATGCAGAGGAAGGAAGGTCCGTGGAAAGCCAGAACACGATTATTGCAAAATCAGCTCAGTGGCTACCTCTAAGGGAGGGGGGAATACACAGGGTGCTTCTGGGTCCTGGCAGTGTTCTAATTCTTGACTTGGGAAGAAAACCAAGCTGGATTCTCCGTGTCCTACGAGACAGTTCCCATTCCCAGGGGGAGACTTACGCATGTGGCCACGCCTTCCTGCAAGGGAGGCTGGGAAGTGTCATCCTCCCTGTCTTTGCCCATTGTTGCCTCCCTGGGGCCCAGAATAGCACCTGTCATCTGAGTAGGTACCAG